GCATTCAGCTTGAGAATATTGATCCTTGGCAGAACAGGGAAATCATGTTCTGAAAAGGGGTTAGCTTATATTGTCCAGTAGTAAAAAGAAAAACAAATATACTATACCTTCAATGATGATATTGTGTGTTAGGACTTGAGTTCCCAAAGCGAACAAGCCTGACTTGAGATGCATTGTCGCCTTGCCCTTAACACTAAGGCGGCCCAATCTTCCCTCAATCCAATCAAGAGCTATCGCGTGGATTCCTCGAATGTCACCAGCCTCTAGATCGGTGAGGAAGTCGACATTGGTATGACGGCCGTTGCGGATGTCCACTTTTATGGAGGGCAATGCTGCGTTTCCAACAAGCACATTCCCATATTCTGGGAGATAAACTTCGACATTTGATGAACCCGTCTCAACTTCCCTGGCAATCCATGTCGCCAGTCGACCAATGCCTCGAACCGACTTATTCTTCACGCGGCCCGAGTCCACCATAAAGTCGCCCTGAATCCGGGCTCGAACGCCGTCAGATGTTGTAGAATCGATTGATACTGCGGTCGGTTTGAAGACAGCGGCTTCTTGCGCATATTCTTTGACGGCTGCGGGAGCAGCAAAGGCAAATACCAGTATCGTCAAAACACCGATTGTTAGAATAGAGAGAGAGATGACCGTCGGCCATGGTACACGGCCCCGCTTCTTGACGGCGCCACCCTCGGGCGGGTTCTGTGATGCAAATGACGGGGATCGCAGCGATCCTTGTTCAGTCCCGTATACCAATTCATCAGCATCACGGCGGTGCAATAGAGGTGTTGATTCTGATGATAATTCATATGATGGCCTAGGCTCGTCGACGGATGTTCTCTCCGAAGGCCGTTCAATAGGGCTGGAATGCTCCTCCAACAGAGGCCGGTTCGAATCTGCCATGGTGGCCTCGTCTGAATGAGATGGTGATATTTGCGAAATATGGGATGACTCTGTTGATAATTGATATGATGGCCTGGGCTGATCGTCGGAGCCCAACTGCTTAGCTGGCAGAGGCCGGTTTGCCTCGTCAGCCATCGTGGCCCTAAACGTATAGATAAATCACAATGGAATGTAGTCTCCGGAGCTAATATCAGCTATATGAAAGGGATGAATTCAAAATCACGTAACAGAAAGAAGAGAGAGAGGCAAGATATAACCTTGGAAGAGGCCCTCGATGACGATAAGCCGATGATAACGGAACCTTGGGATGCCCAGGTGTGGAGAGCTGACACCTTGACACCTGACATATCGGGACGCAAGGCATCAATCCCCTCGCACATCCACTCTCCATATTAATTTATTGAGTCACGGTTCTTCACTTTTAGGGCTCCCCCGTTCCTATTCCCTTCCCACGTTCCAACTCCTCATCAATAACGCCCAGCTCATCATGGCTAGTGGTCTCACAGCTGCCGCCCGTTATGGTGCCCAAAGTGTAAACCAATTGGCCGGCTCCACCTCATCTTTGCGTCGAACACTCCAGGCTAATGGAATCCGACGATTTGCCCACCAGACACCGACTTTACCTCCCACCTCTCCTTTCGCCCCTCGTCATCTTCTCTCCATTGCAGACCTGACCCCTACGGAATTCGCGACCCTGGTCCGCAATGCTGCGTCGCACAAACGTGCTATCAAGTCCGGGGCCATTCCCGAAAGCCTATTGGGATCTCTCTCCGGCAAGACCGTGGCCATGATGTTCAACAAGCGCAGTACTCGCACCCGTGTATCCACCGAAGCCGCCGCCGTCCAGATGGGTGGCCACCCCATGTTCCTCGGAAAGGATGACATCCAGCTTGGTGTCAACGAGTCCCTATACGATACCTCCGTTGTGATTTCCTCCATGGTCTCGTGCATTGTCGCACGTGTCGCCAAGCACGAGGACGTCGCAGGTCTGGCACTACACTCCACCGTACCTGTGATTAATGCACTTTGCGACTCCTTCCACCCTCTCCAGATCATCGCCGACTTCTTGACCATCCACGAGAACTTCCCGGCCCACGCGCACAAGCTCTCCGGCCTGGGCCTGGAGGGTCTTAAGATCGCTTGGGTTGGTGATGCGAACAACGTTCTCTTCGATCTGGCCATTGGTGCTACTAAGATGGGTGTGGACGTGGCTGTTGCTACTCCTAAGGGCTACGAGATCCCTGCGCATATGATTGACATCATCCAGCGCGCTGGTGAGGGAGTTGACAAGGCTGGCAAGCTCACCCAGACCAATGTCCCCGAGGAAGCCGTCAAGAACGCCGACATCCTGGTTACGGATACCTGGGTCTCCATGGGCCAGGAGGAGGAGTCTAAGAAGCGCATGAGGGCCTTTGAGGGCTTCCAGATCACTGCTGATTTGGCTAAGCGCGGTGGCGCTAAGGAGGGCTGGAAGTTCATGCACTGCCTGCCCCGTCACCCCGAGGAAGTGGATGATGAGGTCTTCTACGGCCCGCGCTCTCTGGTCTTCCCTGAAGCCGAAAATCGGTTGTGGGCGGCTATTGCCGCCTTGGAAGGCTTTGTTGTAAACAAGGGAAAAATTGTGGAGTAAAAGCCGGTTAATTATGGAGTCTATTCAAACATGCCGAGAAGCTTTACCCGGCCAATGACAGACATGATGATTTGATATAGCGGAGTTGCCGATGCCGAGAGTTCTCTGTTGCCGCCGAGCCAATCAAAAGATGATCCGACGGCCTGGGGATTTCGGATATGGCTCCTCCAAAATAGCGGGGGCTTCCGATTCTGAGACCTGACTCTATTCTGTTCTTCGCAGATCATCCATAATTGACTATTGTATAATATCCTACGGAGTACTTTGCTACTAGTTGCCAGCGATCTGAAATTTACAGGGCTATATCAAGACATTCCACCTCGGGAGTTGATTCATAGTACTGAATCCGGCATCACTGTAAGTGATATAAAACAGAATACCAACGATTAAAAGCCCCCAAAGCTGCATATTTCCAAACCGATTCTTGAGATTTGGTAAATACCCCTGGAGGGTATGGACTCCACATGGAACTCGGGAGACCTGAAGTGGAATCTCGGAATCGTTGCTCACCCCACATTTACTCCACGCTCCGAAGAGCATCTCCAAGACGTTTGATCGGGTAATGCTTCGCAGGGGAAGACACATAAAGCTTGCTTAAGAACCTGAGTATCGATTATCATTCATTCTCTCGAATAACACCTCTGTTTTCAGTAACCCCAAATTTCTTCCACATCTCATTATCAACATCTCCCCCACATCACAATGGGCTTCGAAGACAAGCGAGTCGCAATCGTCGGCGGCGGCCTAGGGGGCATGTCCTTCCTCAATGCCGCACTGTACAGTGGCCTGAAGAACGTGCAGCTATACGAGCAAGCTGCACAGTTCGGTGAGGTCGGTGCCGGCGTAAACATCACCTCGAACGCAAACCGCGTTCTGGATGCCTTCGGTCTGCAAGAGAGTATGATGCGCAAGTCCTCCCGCAAGCTGCCTAGCTACATGGAATACCACAACTACAAGACTGGGGAGTACATAGGTCACATTGCTGAATTCTCGCAGCCCCACGCGCGCCTGCTACACCGCGCCCACCTACTGGACTCGCTGAAGGAGCGCGTGCCCGAGTCCAGCCTGAACCTGGGTAAGCACCTGGTATCCGTCGACCGCAACACTGCCGCCGGTGCTGCACCATATACCCTTCGTTTCCAGGATGGCAGCACCGCCGAGGCTGATATTGTCATCGGCTGTGATGGTATCAAGTCTAATGTGCGCCGGGATATGGGCCTGGGAGACGACCCCAACTACTCTGGCCAGGTGGTCTATCGTGGATTCGTCGACTACAAGGACCTACCCGCTGAGACGGCACAGCTACTGCGCAAGACTGTTAACTTCCGTGGACCCAAGCGCCATGTCCTGATCTTGCCTATTGGTAACCAGGAGACGGGGACCGACCGTGCTGCCATCATCGGGTTTATGTCCGAGCCGCTTGATGCATGGGATTCTGAGAGCTGGATATCCCGCTCGGATATTGATAGTCTCCAGGAGCATGTCCGTGACTGGTGCCCGGAGGTGCAGCACATCATCGCTGGTCTGCGCAAGAGCTCCGAGGACGGCAAGATGCTCAAACAGGCGCTGTACGTGCGTGACCCGATCGAAAAATGGTATGAGATGAAGAGTGGGCAGAAAGATGCTGGTATTATCCTGCTTGGTGACTCAGCGCACTCGACTCTTCCTCATCAAGGTACGTTGCATCCTATCTGTGTCTAGTCTTATTGCGGGGCATGTATTAATAGTACTCGATAGGTCAAGGAACATGCATGGCAATCGAATCCGGCATTGCCCTTGCAACAATCCTCAGACACTGGAAGACAGACGACCTAGAGACTGCATTCAAGTTCTACCAGGACCTGCGCAAGCCCCGGACAGACCGGGTCACAAAGACAAGCTACGAAGCCGGCAAGTTGGCTAGCTCAGACTCCCCCGACCAGATGTCCAACAACTTCAACCCGGATGCATTGACCGAGCGCATGAGGTGGATTATGGAGTACAATGTTCTAGAAGACTTGAAGATCAAGGGTCAGGGATATTTGGACTTGCAGGATTCGCGCCTGTAAGCGGTACTGATATATGTCGATATATGTCGATATACTCTTGTATATACTTTGGTTATTTTTTAGAAATAAATCAACCTTTCTGAATTTCCATCCTTCTGTTCGATTGCACCAGATGAGCATTCATCATGCCACAATTGTTTAATCGTATGATTTGACTGTACAACTCGCAATATTGGACGATTTCTATAGATCCCATTCCATCTCACTCGGCTTATTTACATTCAACACCATTCCAATAATATATCTCTTGATACTATCTCTTGATTACATTTCTATCCTCGGGCATAATAACTTCAAGACAATTGCCGACCATCTTCACATGTCAGCCGCACGTGCAGCAACTCCGCATTTCCATCGTCTCGACCTCTTCACATCTGATTCTGAATGTGCTTGAGCTTTCGGCTGGAAAACCCATGATGGAGGTAAATACTATATTCTGACCTGCACAAAATATGAAGTGGATATCTAACGGGGCATATATAGTTCACCACTAACTCGGGAGGCTTCCAGTCCCGTCGATCATACCCATCCCTCCGCCATATCTCTATAGCACCCTTAACCCCACGATTCCCCATTGATGACGACACGGACCTAACAGACTACTTCAACAACTCCGACCATGAAACTCCAGCCAGCGGCAGTCGCACACCCCCAGCATCGTCCTATATATCCAGCGTCTCAGTCCCAAGCACGCCACCGATCCTCTCCCACTCACGCAGCAACTCGCGAAACCGTCACACGCGCAGCAAAAGCTCCACAGGGAGAGTAGCCTTAAGCGACACGAACCTACACAGTCGGGACCTAGGCTACGCCCTCCACCACATTCCAAATACGCACAAAAAACAGCCCAGCATCTCATACTCGCAAGGACGACGTCCCCTCCCAGACAGCACGCCGAACCCCGAATCCGACGCAGAATGGATACTCCGCGCCGGAATTGCCCTGGCTTCCTCGACCCGCGAGGAAAAAGGCCAAAGCTGGCTCTCCAAGCGCGAGTCCTCTACAAGCCTCGTCCCAGACACGGCCTTGGACGAAATACTCACTAAACGCCACCATCACCGCACCAAATCAGGCGCCTCGTCACGCATTTCTCGCTCCGGCGCCTCAACCCCAGGCGGAGCCGGGGCCTTCTCCCGGCGCACCTCCCGCTCCCGCGCCGGCAGCAGACCCGGCAGCAGCAGAGTCCATCTAACCATGACCACCATCCCGGCTACCTCCCCGACCACAGCAGAGAAGGAAGTATCCTTCAGCTCAGGCACGAATACCGGCACGGCGAGCCCCGAAGCGCGCGGGCGTATGCCTGCCCTAGTGCCTGACTTCGTGGACGCGCGTATCCGTGCAGAGATGGCATCGCTACAGCACTGCGAGAGGGTATACCCAGACGAAGACTCTGTGTACTGGGATGGGGCGGGCTCCGACTTCGACTCGGATTTGTCAGAGTACTCTTTCGACTCCGACGAGATGCCGGATGACTTCGACGAGGCGGATCTGCAGCGGCTGACGCGCGAGCGCGGGTTCGGGCTCGGCACTTTGATTGATCGGTTAGTTGAGTGGACGCTTTTCGGGGTTGATGAGTGGCCTGCGGCTGGTTCGGCTGTGGAGGATGCTTCGCGTATTGGTTCGGCGGATACTACTACTGTTACATTTGAGGAGCCTGTTTTGGTGGCTGGGCGGGATGATGATACGATTTCGCTTGGTTCGGTTCGGGATGGGGATTTATCGGATGATGGGGAGGGTTCTATTGGTAGTGCTGCTTCTATTGAGAAGCCTGGGAGTCAGGGAGGGTGGGAGGATGCTGGGTGGTTGATTCGTTTGATGAAGAGGGCTTTGGTATAAAATATGAATTGCATTGAGCGATGTTCTTGATTGAGATGATTGTCTATCCATAATGTTTAGTTTAGTTTAGCTTGCTCTTTGTAATTGGTTATTAGCTTTGTTGTTCAGAATATCTATGAAGCTGGCTACACATGACCAAGCAGCCCTAAGAGACTAGGGAAATGTCCCGGTTTTTACATCTTTCTACTGATGACCAAAATCTCCGAGAAAATTGATAGGATTCCAATGAACAAGCTAGCGTGAATAAAGGCCACTAACCAACAACATATTCAGAACCTGCGCGGACAACAGGATCAGAATGTATGTTGCAGAATGAGTTGGATGGCGAGTGGTCCTCTTCTAATGTATAGAATAGGTTCAAATCTCCGCCGACTTTTCCAAAGCTTAAAAGCGCAAGAATTGGAGTTAATGGCCCAAGACAGAAGTTGCCGCTCTGACACGCATCATTGGAATATGCGATGGACATAATGGCACAAGCAATAGAGATTGAGTCCAAGCCCCAAAAGTGAAACAGACAAAGACAACCCACAACAGCGAAGGAGAAGCAAAAGACAAACAATGAGACACGAATGAAATGAAAAAAAGAGAAATGTATGCGACACCAGGGCGCCAGTAGAGATAGAAAGAGAGTAACAGAGTTGGAATGAGTACACAGGTGGAATAATTTGAGAATCCGACAGAAAGGGAAGGGGGAAAGGAAGGGTCTTGCGTATACATCGGAATACGACAAGTAGGCAAAGTAAGCAACAAAGAAATATACTGAGGCCCAGTTCGTTCATTGAAAGATTTGAGAACAAACAAGCTACCACAGCATTCATCTTCCAAAGTCTTAGCCGAAAAAGAAGAACAAAGAAAATGCTGTTAGGTTATCCGCCTTGAGTACTATAACGCCATCGGACCAGGAGTCTAGGGTCATGCAGCAGGTATCGTGATCGTGACATACGTCGAAAATTGTGCGGTCAAAGGGGTATGGACCGTCGGTCAAGCTCAAATGAGAGCCGGCATGAATGGGCGGGGGACGTGAGGCCGACACGTAAGAGCGGTGTAAATGTAATGGTGGTCTTTTGTAAGGAAATCGGAGTGGTGTGATTCATCACCAAGGTCCGACCTTGACTGGTGTTCCCAGCCCGTAAGTTCCGGAAAAGAGCTGATCCCGTATAGAGCCCATGTCGCTGTTGCTTCCGTGGGATGGTGTGTCAGGTCCATTCATCCATCCCAAGCTGAGACCGAGTTCGTTGACAGCTCCCTGTAGCTTTCCTCCAGAGGTTTGGTTGTGCTTGGCCAACTTTTGATCCCAACCTCCGTATTGCAATTGGATGCCACCACCTCTTTTTGCCGCTTCCCGGATGACCAAAATCCATGCCTTGCACATCTCGTCATAAGCTGAGTCTCGTTCAATGTTGTTCTGTGGCGTGCTCCAGCGAGGCAAGGCATGAATGATGTCAGTTGCCCCATCTAGGTAGCTCAGGGATGTGGATGCTTGTGATTCGTTTGGAGGAAGGAAGTTAGGTGTGAAGTCACTCAAGGCGTCAAGAAGGTTGGTGAGCGGCTGTCGGACTCGATTGTATGCGTAGTCCGATTCGGTGTTGCCACCCAACGGGAATGACGACTGGAGGGCGGCCTGATAGTTTCGAAGAACTTGAAGGGTTGAGGATACATTCGGACGTGGGGATGTGTGCACAACCTCATCGACGAGTTGAGGGTGACGCTCGCACATGGTCCGTACAACAGTCCGCAAGGCATCTGTATCGAGGGTCTCTAGCAGACGGGGTAGAGATAGAGGTCGGCCTGAAACGTTCGGTCGGGAACGTTTGATGTTACGGTAGCTGTGAGGGAGTTGTCGAGGAGTGGCGGCGGGAGAGTTTGTAGGCGAAGCAGACATGCGTCCATCATGATCGTTGTCGTCGTCGGCTTTCCGTTTACGACTGGCATACGACGAAGAGGGTGTAGACACTGGCCGTTTTGTCAGTACACGAATGCATCAAAGAAGGACCACCTCTAAACCGGACAGAGAAAGCAAATCATTCCAAGGGGAAGGGATATCTTACTCATACGGGAAGGAGAGAATCGGGAGTTCTCGTAGAAGTGAGGAGGAACAGGAGGTGTGGCCACCAAGCTGTTCATGGTGACAGCCAGATGGCAAAGAATAAATGAGACGGTCCAAAGGACTCGGATATCCAAAAGAGTGAAAAAGAAACAGCAATAGGCAACCTTGAAGAAGAAGAGGATATGTAATGGGTTTTGAGGTGGGGAGAGAAGGGCAGAGAAAGGTAGCGGTGGAGAAAAAGTAGGCCGTTGCAGGTGGCAACGCACTCCCTTTGCGCAGCTTTTGGAGATCTGTGCCCTTGAAAGAGGGTTGATATGGACTGGAAATGGGCTTCGTATATTTTTACGATGATTCTTATACGAAATTAAATGTCTTATATCTCTCTCTTTGCTGTCATCGGGTGTCCACTGCTTTCGGGTGCTATACGAATACCCGCATCATCTACATCTACGTTATACGTAATAGAAAAAGACTAAAAAGAAAATTGTGGGTAATCCTATTCTTTGGACTCCAGCGGTCATAAAAGGGATATCGTTTCTACAAGTACAGGGACTGGGCAGCAACAATGTCACGGCGGACCTTGCCCAGGGCCTCCTCGAACTTGCTCTCCAGTTCCTCGCTGCCCATCACCTTGGCAGCTTGTGCCATCTGCCGTAAACACTCTTCCAATCGACGGAAGACACGGATCAAGCTACCCTCATAAACATCGGTCATTTTACTAGGATAGTTAGTATACTGCTAAATAATTGAAAGGGGGGGATGCTTACCAGATATCTGCGAAAGACTTGCCCTGAGTCCACTCGTAGACCACCTCCATCAGCTCCCAGTGGAAGCTCTGAACGTACTCATCCTCGTTCACGGCCATCTTAGACTCCTGTGACACCTTGGCAATGATGCGGGCCTGTGATTGGATCTCCTTCAGTGGCTTCGCCAACTCATCGTTGGTCAAAGTAGGGGCGTCCTTGACCTTTTCTTCAAACACGAAACAACTCATGACGGAAGCGACTTGCTCAGCAGTCAAGTTGTTAAAGAAACCATTGAACAGCAACTCGCTCAGCATCAGTTCGTCACCTGTACTAATCTCACAAGCAACACGAGCCTTTAACTGCACGACTTCGGCTTCGTTGATAAATCCAAAACGACGGAGCACACGCTTGCGATTTTTCAGCTCATCAAGCTGCAAAACCGACATGGCTTCTGTAATTTCCTTTTTTATCGCTTTCATCTTTGCAGTCAGTTCCACCTTTACGGCATATTGCTCGTATAATTCAGTCAACCGAGGCGAATTGTGCAAAGGATTACTCAGGAGGCGAGACTCAAGAACCTCGATTTTCTATCATATGGTTAGCAGCGTGAATCATGTCTTAGAGCAACAAAATCTCCTCTTACCCGCAGTAGCTTCTTGAAGCTTTCATCCTTGATCTGCATATTCTCAATCGGATCAAGCAGCGGAATACCATCTGGGAACCGCCTCTTAACTTCATCAATAGATTTCATAACATCATTCCGAGAGCCAGGCGACGTGATATCATTCGGAAGCATGACGCGAATGTGAGAGATTTCCTTGATGCAGCTCAGCACAATTGGCACTACCTCACTGCGAGAGGGTTCCCCTTCCTTTGGGGGGTGAACACCCGGCGGAAGATCTTGGAAAGACTTGGTCCCAATGGATGACCCTTCCGTTATTCTCACCAAGACATCAACGATGTAAGATTGGTGAGGACTCAATTTCTCGCTGTCATTGTTCGCTTGCTTCCGCTTCTTCTGGTTGATCACCACGCCCCAGCCGAAATCAGCATCCTTGTACTTTACATGGATCAATCGTCCAGGGTGAATGAAATTCAAAGAATAATTGGGGTGGGTAATGACATGCTGAACATCGTCGGCAAATGCATCCAGTTGTTTCCGTAGGTCGTAGTATTCGCGGATGGTCCCCTCGTCTGAGATGATCATATTGGCGCGCTTCTCCTCGAGACTATGGAGCTCCTTCTCCATACCTGAAACACTTCCAGTATTCTGGAACTGCTTGAAGCATCGTTCAAGCATGTATTCGGGCGAGATACCCTCCACACGCATCAGATTGAGAATCATGTTGTAGCCAAGATGGAATGCGGAATTGAGTCGATCCTGTTCACCACGCACGATCTCCTTGGCGACTGCTGGGTCCATCTCCTCTCCAACCATCATGATCACAATACCTCGGTCATCGAGACCTCGACGACCAGCCCGACCAGACATCTGAATGAACTCAGATGGGGTAACCCAGCGTTGGCTAGTTCCATCGAATTTGCGGACACTGGTGAAGACTACAGTCTTTGCAGGCATGTTGAGACCAATGGAGAAAGTCTCGGTTGCAAACAGGACTTTGATGAGACCCTCCTGGAACAGAATCTCAATGGTTTCCTTAAGAATTGGCAGCAATCCTGAGTGATGGACACCAATACCTTGTTGCAAAAGTGGAAGGATGTTTTGGATCTGTGGCAATTGACGATCCTCTGGAGACAACATCTCGATGGCGCTTTCGAAGACTTTGGACACCATATTCTTCTCGGAATCATCGTTGAAAGTCAGTTTGCTCATCTGTAAAGCACCTGCTTCACACTCCCGCTTGCTGAAGCTGAAGACAATGACGGGATTGTAGTTCTTGAGCATGATCATCCTGACGATCTTGAAGATATCAGATGGGCCCTTGTTTCCACCCTTGTTGATTTGCTTATCCTTGCCCCTGCCCTTGCGTTTGGCTAAAGCGTCGGCCGGGTCATCTCCTTTCTTGTCAGAAATTGCGCTCATTGCTTTCTGGAAGTTCTCTTCGCGGAAAACTCCCTTTTCATCCACGATGAGATGGATACCCTCTCCACCAGCGGGGAAGAAGTAATTCTGGAGTGGAGTCGGACGATAGTTGGTGTACACAACGTGGCAGGGCTGGTTATGCATCTTCACGATCCATTCGGCA